GTTTTTTTTTTTTTTTTTTTGAAAACCCTTTTTATACCCTGAACCCATGAAAGTGGTTTAAAAGGGTATCATGGCTTGCATATATGAAATTAAGTACACATGTTCTTGATCAGCATCAACAGCCGAGTTAATCCAGCCATGAACTTATAAATTCTCTTCGTCCATCAGTCTGTACGTGTTGATCTATGGACTTGACATTTCGAACGTTGGTCCTAATAATCCTTATTCAAATGAGCGATAGCTTGACCCGTTTCTAAGCAATCGATAATATTCGACAGATAGAACTTATAGGAGATAGCGACACCGAATTTGGTAGGCAGCTAGCTTGACGAGGGGAGCAAGGTATCTCTTGACCGGGCACTCCCGACTATAGAACTCTTACGTTTTAGTGTTTGCATTTAACGAACAACGCCGCAACGGCGCAGCGGCAACAATAAGGGCAATAACAAGCGTGCTTGCCGCACATTCCGCGCCAAGGCCGGTACTGGACTGGGTGCGGGAACTGGGGGCAGAAGCTGGTGTTAGTGATGTGTCAGGCAGCTGGTTGTGCTCCTATTGTGTCTGTAGCTGGGGGTGTGTGGCTAATAAAAGGCTTGTTACAATGAAAACAAATCAAATCGGCGCCGAAGCCATCCATCAAGTCAAACCAAACTCGAGTTCAAATGAATCGCGACTAACGAATACCAGCAACCAGCTACAAACAGGAAGTAGTTTGAATTTCCGGTGTCACTCAGCCTCCACGTCACGCCAATTGCTGAGCGCCAGTTTTATCCGACCAGCTAGTAGAAAGAGGCAGTAACCACGTTCAAATTTTCAAATTGATTACGGGCCACGTGGCGGCATGGGTGGCGATGAGGCGCGGAGTCAACTCAGGTTTACTTTGAAATGCCATTAAAATGTATTTACAAACGCAAATTGATAGCGCTTTTGGTCTAGGCCTCATCCGCGATGTGTTGAAGTTGAAGCTTAGCCGGCCATTTGGTTGAATGTTCTTTGCGCATGTGTTATACATGTGTGTGTGTGTGAGTGTGTGTGAGTATGTTTGCGTATGTGTGCCCGTGTGTGCGTGTCTGGTGCGCTGAGGGTCGTCATGCGGCAGCGAGGGAACGAGAGTCTGCCATCCTTTTGAATGTCTGCCCATCTTACTTATACGAATACCCAAAACAGAAAGTCCTTTACTAGGGCGCATCTGTGTGTGTGTCTGTTTGAGTGATAAATGCAATTTCCATATCGGAAATGCGTTTTTACCGTTGAAACCTTCGTGCGAATGTCCCCCCTTGACATTGCGACAGTCTTGGCCCTGTCCCTGATCGCTTGAGCCCCCATATAGGAACATGCCTCCTGTGGTTTATGTAATGTTATTCCTGCGCTTAACACGCTTTTTAGTTGGTGATTAGTCCCTCAGAGTTGGCACCACGACGTAGAAAGTTGTCTGGTTGCTGTCATCGATTGGCTTAAGATTGGTAGCGGTTAGTGGTCGTTCAAAGGCTGCATGACTTAAACAGTGGTTGGCAATCATTCGAAAATTGTCCTATTATAAACAGGTCATAGTGGTATTTATACCATGAACCCATCGAAAATGAGTGAGCGGGCATAATTCGTTTCTGCCAATGAATGTAACAGGCAGAAGAAGGTATCTTAAACTGCATAAACTATTCTCTATTCTCGAAAACCATTAATGGACGATTTTATTCAGACATGTCCGTCCGTAGCTATTAACCTGTCGATTTTAGAAATTATAAGAGATACAAGCTTGAAATTTGGGCGTAGCTCCTCATGTTGCATTATCAACTTGTCTTTTTTCCATGAGATCAATAAAAAATAGAAAAAATATCGAATAGTAGATTCTTATTTAACATATTCAGATCCGAAACATTTTGATATCTTCTCGCGTTCCTCTGAAAATTGTATGAACTTATTTCATTGCCGTACTTATGGCCTTCTTAAACTAATGTGGACATACGCTATGCAACTATGGGGAACAGCAAACAACTCCAGCATAGACATCCTGCAAAGATACCAGCTAATGACCTTCCTTGGTATATGCTCATATATGATATACATAAGCACCTAAATATGCCCTTTGTCGGAAATGAAATAAGTAGATGTGCTATATAAATGGGTCACACAATCACAATAACTTGGCTCTGGGTCTTTTAGACAATACTTAAATAATAAGGCTAGACAAACTAATTCAATAAATTAAATATACTTATATTGTTTGAACTCATTGGAGCTGAAGCAATCCGGATAAGTTATATTATTTTTTACTTGCTAAGCAATTTGTTTATTGTCTGCGGCTTAAGGACGAAAACGCTAAACTGCTACGCGAATATGTCTGATTGTCCTAGAGGACTTTTACTTGGTGGGACTTTCAGCCGTTGGACATTTTTCTAACGTAATTAAGTGATATTCGTTATTTCGTAATTGGCCACTTTATTCAATTGGCGGTGCCATAGTCAAATACATTTGCCTATTACACATCAGAGTCATTTTAGCCTATCTCATTTTTATTGGCAGCGTGGGGCATGCAGCCTGCAGCAATTTGGCAAACATCAACGACAATAAAGTTAAACTGCAATTATTTTCAAATGAACTTCATTTGAAATGCAATTTGAGCCATGTATCTAATATATGCAAACAATTTACTGTGCTCCGAGCGCAGAAAGGGGCAAGCAGGCACAGCACGGCACGAAGCAAAACGGAAACAAGCCCAACCAAGCCAAAACAACATCCTTGTTGGCTTAAAGCACCAAAGCAGAGCCAGTGACAACAACAGCAACAATAAATCAATATGCAAAAGGAACACTGACGACCCAAGTTGGCAAACAAGAAGCGTGGCAAAATGATAAACTGTGTTGACTGTATTGTGCCGATGACGGTTGCTACAAAACAACTTGTGGGAATGTTTTCTCAGGACCACACACAAACACACACACTCACACAAACACTCACACTCACTCACACACGCTCACACTCACTCACACACACACACACACGCACATATGCTTGTGTACTTGATCTGAGCGCGGGTCGTGCTTGGTTTTGTGGCCTGTGGCTCACGAAGCATGCTATGACAGGTTCGGCACGGGATATACCGAAAAGCCCGCAAAATGTAGTCACTGAAGAAAGCAGGAATAATGCCGAGAAATAGCTTCGTCAGATATTGTTGATACCTGAATATAGAAGGTAATCTTACGTATCTCGAACTATTGAAACAAATAAACAAAATAAGCTAACCTTTATTAAAGGGTAACATATAAAAATAAAAAAAAAAATGCAACCATCTTGGCAATGCTAAAAATTAAAACAATTTTATATACCGAAATGCATAAAAACTTTAAGCCCGAAAGTTCGTTAAATATTGCTGATGCCTGAATATACCAGCAGATCGTAACTGTCCCGAATAATCTAAGCAAATTAACAAAATAAAAAAAACCCTTATAAAAGGGTTACTATACATGTGAAAGGAAAAAATGCAATCATCTTTTCGGTGCAAAAATTCAGAAAAATGTTATATAAAAAATTGCAGATTATTTTTTTTGGTTTCTTCCAGAGCAGGCTTAGTCCTTCAAACAATTATCCGTGTGTTGAGTGTGAGTTTCGTGCTTGAACCGGGGAGTGCCTCGAAAATAAGGCCTGCGCACATCTGTACTGTTTATGTGTATATATGTGTTTGCATTCAAGTGTATGTGCCCGCGTGTGAATTTGATGTATGTCCTTGTGTGCCCACCCACATAAAAGTGAGCAATAAACATACGCGATTAAATTCATTATGAACTCTTGAGGAGCAGACAATGAGCATATGAAATGACAATTGATTGCATGTGTGTGTGATTGGTTGTGTGAATGTCCCTCTCGAGTCGTACGTGAAAATAACATGGCGCTCCCCCGTGTATGTGTGTGTGTGCGTGACTTGTATGACGACAAAATGAAGCAAAAGGTTTCAGCTCTTGTTATTGTTGCCTTTTCTAATTGTATTAGCAATTGTTCGTGTGTGTCTGCGTATGTGGTTACTAATTGGATTTCAGATATTCAATCAACATGTTTCCGCACTGATTTTCACAGATTTTGTGGACGAGTACTACATTTGCTGAGTCAGCGTCAATCTATTTTCGTAGATCTGCAACAATAAAGCAGTCGATCCATATGCCCGAACACTTGAGTAAAGGCATCGTAGCATCCACATCAATTAAATTGTCATGAATGTTTCATTTAACGCACTATTGCTTATAAGCTATGAGCTTTCAAGTAGGATCAGTATATACTACTTAACATACTAAAGACGTTTTTGTTAGCCAACTGATATGTACATTCTCAAAAGCTGCAGAATATCAGGCCAGATCACAATTACACGGCGTTGCCCGGGTAAAATTAATAATTTTGGAGACTCAAAGTGGTACATTACTATGCATCAATTTTGCTGCATATATATTTTTTCGCCTCAATTGAAAAAATGAAAAAACTTTTTTTTTAATTTATAACAAGATGCTCTAGTCGAGAGTGCAACTCGCGCTACGAGCTCATCTGCTTTAGCAGCAATGAAAATAAATTACCAAAAATGTTTATTGTAAAGAATCAATGTATGATATATACATTTTTATTACAACACAGTCGAATTGTTTTGGATAGAATTTAATAAAGGCGTTTTTGTTCAGGGTAACCCCTAGTCGGGACCTCCCGACTAGAGCCTCTTACTTGTTAATGGGTTGAGGGTATGAAATTATATTTTTTTTTATATTTAAAAAAAATATGCACAGTGCCTAAACGTCGTTATGTATACTGAAGTGGATCCGGACATCTCGCGGCTTGTTAGTTGTCAGATACTCAGATACGTAAACCACATACGCTCTTATGTTGTAATTGGTGTTAGAAGGCAATTGGCTCTAGATCTTACGTTTGGACTGAGCATCGACCAACAATCCCTCGATTTGTCATTACAAAGTGCTATATACATATATTAATATATATTATTATTACTGTTATGGTTATTATAAATATTGGAAGGTATTTATGTAAATGTATTAGATACAAATGAAATTTGGATCTAAGAAAAATATTGAATTTAAATGACTGCTGAACATTTGCTGTAGTCATTTTTCCCCTACATCCTCAGCAAATACATTAGTTATACTTAATTTTGTAATATGGCTGCGGCGTTCTGACATTCGCTGCGTTTGTGATGTGATAATTGCTGTCAGATACAGTAATTCCAGCAACCCAATAAACCATAAACTGTTGTCTAAAATGAGTTCGCGCTCATGAGAGCGTGTGTGGAAGTGTGTGTGCCAGAGTGTATGTGGGTCTGAAAATGCGAATGTGTGCGTGTGTGTGGATTTGTGTGTGTCTATGCACTTGCGTGCAAGTGAACATGGTGGTCACCGCATTTTGTCGCTGGTTTTGGATTTCCAGAAGACTTCAGTGCCATGGTTTTACTCAATTTTGGCTTGTCATATGCAGGATGCCTGCCGCAAGCCGCAGGCCACCTACCTGTTGAAGTGCATAAAGTACAACTCAAAATCGGATCTGAAGAGATCCATAAAACTGATTGACTCCAAGCACACATTCTAAAGTCTGTGAACTCGCATAGCTTGCATTGTCAGCGTGATCAGTGGAAGCCGAAACCAGGTTCCCAATGGGCACGTTGCCACATTACGCTCTATCCAACTGCGAAAGTGGTGCACATCGGTGTAAACGCCGGCGGAATCTGGCATCGCACAGCCGTAGCCAAAAGAGACGACGCCCACTACTTTTCCAGCGCAAATAAGCGGTCCACCTGAATCGCCCTGACAGGCGTCTACTTCGAAATCCTTTGCGTTCGAGGCACATAACATGCCTTTTCCAAAATGCTGCAGCTTAGAGCAAAACTCTCTCGAGTTGATAGTCAAATCGCCGTTGACTGCCTCGTCGGGAATTGGGCCGTACTATGAATGCAGATTTGAATGAGAATCAGATATTATTCTGCGTTTTGTCGTACAATTTATTATAGTGCTCAGAATTTTCATATTTTTCAGTAGAGGCTTACCTGAATAACAGTACCCCATCCAACGACTGTGCACTCCAATCCGGCCGGGGGATCATTGTCAGCTAAGGGTATAATAGCGACAAAATTTCCGTCTGGTATCACCTCACTCTTGAGACGTAAAACCCCAATATCATTGGTAAGGCGACTAGCGGAGTACTGTGGATGCGGCTTGACTTTTTCTACGTTAAATTCTTGGGTGCTACTTGTCTTTATCAAGCGACGCGGTGTACCGGCAACTACCTTTACCTTATTAGGTCGAAGCCTGTTGCGCCTGCAATGTCAGAATTAAATGTGAAATGACTTAGTAACCGTGAAGATTTACCCTGAAAACAGACAATGGGCTGCTGTTAGAACAGCTGTCTTAGATATTAAACTGCCGCCACAAAAATGATTGTCGCCAAAGAATTTATTACTTTGGCTAAGACGTAGCGAAACTGCAAATTTAACCAAGTCATTCTTTTCGGGACGATAGCCGCCGGTTACTAGAAAGTGGAATTCACCATTGTCCTCTTCAAAGCTGCTCGAGTTTTGGCTGGAGTTGTCACTGTGTGTCTTGGGAACAGGCTCATCACCTTGAACCTGGACTTGCGACATGTCCGAGGGTTCCATGGTTATCTCATTGGAGCGCCGCTGGTAGAGAGTATGCCAGTTCCTTTCTTTCAAAGCAAAATCAATGTCTGTGCTGCAGTTCCACAACTGGTCATAACCTGAAACTGACTGTTGGACGAGTAATAGTAAGACTACCAGGTTATATACAATAAATTTTGAAACACCCATTTTTTTCTTTTTTTTATTTAAAATGAAATGATTTTAAACTCCCAGAGGATAATAATATGAGCAGAAAGTGCAGTTCAATATAAAAACAAAGCTTATAAATATATGCTATGAAAATGTTGTCAAAACTCTTACAAATTAGATAATTTTAAAGACGTGGAATTTATACTATATATCCCATATAGGCAAGAATGTTAACATTTTCAATACTAAATAAAATAATGCGACTACAGGGACAAAAATATAATATTGAAAATGTACTGCGTGCCACTAATGCATATGCACAATCTAAGTATGACTATGGACATAGCTTACTCCATAGGCTTACTTCACCAGGTTTGTGGGGTATTATGTTGCCACATTTAGAAGACAAATAAATATAGAGGCCAAACCCTGAACAGGGCCTCAAACCTCAAGAAAATCAAATGAGATTTGTCTGAGTTATGAAGGTGGAAAAATGTTATCAATTTCTAATTAGCATATTTGAAGGTACTCTTTTCACATAAACTTTAAGCAATAATGTTGCCGGATTAATACGCTTGCCGATTTAATCGAGACAGGCGGACATGGCTACTCGGCTGTTCACACTGATCAAGAATAAACATATAAGAATTTTTTTAAAATTAATTAATTTAATTTTTTATTATTGCTAAAGCAAACGCATTCTTAGTGCAAGCTACAATTGGTGTTGGTCGAAGAGGGTACAGGGTATCCCCTAGTCGGGAAATACAATATTCCATTTTTACCCATTTTCAATGGTTGTAGGGTATAAGAAATAAAATACCACCAACGTATGGGTGATGATATACTTATTTTTATACCCTGAAACCATTAAAAATGGGTATAAGGGTATATTGTATTTGTGCGAAATCCAAATGTATGTAACAGGCAGAAGGAAGCATCTCCGATCCCATAAAGTATATACATTCTTGATCAGCATCAATAGCCGAGTCGATCTAGCCATGTCCGTCTGCCTGTCCGTCCGTCCGTCCGTCAGTATGTATGAACGCAAGCATCTCAGAATCTATTGAAATTTTAGATGTAGGTGCTCCTAGTTCCCGCGCAGATCAAGTTTATTTCCGATAATCGATATCGACTTACTCCGCTTCCAAGCAATCGATAAAAATCGATATCGATATCCTGTTTTTTGGGCAATTTTGGTAAATAATAAGAGCTCGAGTCACCAAACTTGACATATAGCTTCTAAAATAGAATATATATATGCATTTGATGTTCGAAGAAGAGGATTAAGGGTATCCTCTAGTCGGGAGCTCCCGACTGGAACCTCTTCCTTGTTTATTCTGATTATTCGTTTAGCTTTTAATATTAATACCTTGAACCCATTAAAAATGGCTAAGAGGGGGTATAATGTTTTTATGTATAATGTAAATGTATGTAACAGGAAGAAGGAAACATCTCTGACCCCATAAATTATATAAATATTCTTGATCAGCAAAAACAGCCAAGTCGATCTAGCCATGTTCTTCTGTCCGTTCATACACACGGACGGACAGACAGGCGGACAGACTGACATGGATATATCGACTCGGCTATTGGTGCTGATCAAGAATATATATACTTTCTGGGGTCGAAGATGCTTTCTTCTGCCGGTTACATACATTTAGATTTTACACAAATACAATATACCCTTATACTCATTTTTAATGGGTTCAGGGTATAAAAACAGTAATGTATGGGGTCAGACTTTAGGCTTGTCTACCAACGCACTGCGTACTGTTGTGGCCCAACAGGCGCGAAAATATTTACCTTATAACTTTCGCAGCAAGCCGATAGGCAAATGAAAAACACCTGGTCATAAATAACGTGCACGTGAACCGTACCAGAGTGTGTAGTAGCAGTAAGAGCAATACCGACAGCAAAAACTTGCAGCTAGCAGCCGAAGTGTTAGTTTCCGGCGTCACATATACATGTAAAATGTATGTGTATGTACTCTTATACATACGCTTCCACATGTCCATTAGTGATGCAAAAAATCACAGTAAGTAATTATGTGACTGTGGTTGTCGAGTGTGTGAAAAAAAGTTTATATTCGAAAGTATAGACACAAACTTTTTTAGCGTCTAGCGCCAAAGAACTGCCAAACCGAACATGATTCCTATCCAAATATAGTTCGTCTTAAAATGGAAAGAAAAATAGATATGAAATATTGAATATATTTATTAAAACGATAAAGCTGTGCGACCAACCAAGGGTTAAACTTTGAAGTATGTAGAAAACCTGTTCCATGAACCAAACCTGTGAACCGAACGACTCGGAATATTCTTTATTGCAATGGTTTGCAGCCCTGTTTAAAATAGTACTATGGTGGGTTATAACAGTTTTTGTAAAATGCTGCAGTTAAAAAATGCCATCACATTCTGCTCGAAGTGCCAGCTCGTGATTTTGTCACTGGGCTTACAGAACCGTTTCTAACATCACGTACGCTTGTGTACACAGACAAGTTCATTGTTGTCTGACGGTTCTACTTACTAATTTTTTCGTGCGACCCGCCTCGCTATAAGCTTCTGGTGCCCCAGTGCAGTAGTATCCCGATGTGTGTACATGTGTGTGCTTTTGTGCTTGTTTGTGTGCGTATACTATACATGGGTGTGGGTGCTTCATGTGGTGTGCGTTTTGAGCCGCTGTCGTTATCATTAATTTGCAGCCTGCTTTTCGTAATAATTTACAAAGGATTTTCTTCACTTTTCCTTGCTAGTTTTTGGCAATTCTTGGCCAAGTTTTTAGGTTAAGTTGTCATTATATCCGCTTAAAAAGACAAATTTGTTTATGGCCACTTAGAAACGTTGAATCGGAGATTTCATTCTATACCTAACATATTTCACTGCAAAATTATAAAATTTTTTAATGTCGAAGCTTTAACACAGTATTTTATACTTGAAGGGTTTGTTGTACTGAACATTTTGACAAACTCTTTCCTAGGTGTTTTTTCATTTTGTCAAGTTTTCAACTGTTCAAAGAAAGTTATACGTATATTGATATATACATATGTCAGAAACAATTAACAATATACATTCAATGGATGGGTATTACGAGTGGGTGCGTTTGGAAAGAAAATAGCACAGCTTGCGGTCACCATTATTCATAGAAGCAAACAATTAAGCACACCTGTAAAATTTCCCGCATAAATGCGTGGCACTGGCAAGAACATCATCACCTAGCTAGAGGTAAACAATTATGGCACCCGACCAGTCAACTGACTGACGGCTTGCAGCTGGCTGCGTCGAGATAGCAGACAGCAGACATATTACTTATCGAGAGTAGACGATGCCAAACCAATGATTATTGTTGCCTTTTGCAGTTTTAACTAAAATGCATTTACTGCCAACAGACAACAGGAGGCAGTCCGGCAGTCAAGCAGTCAGGCAGGGGACTTTAGTTGCCAATAGCTGTCCGGCCTCTGCCTTTTCTAGTACGGGAGGGAGAGTGTTAGGCCAATGTTGGCAGCGTCCAAGTCGGTGTCATTGTTTGCATACATTGATTGAATTTGTTCACGCCATTAAATTTGCAAATTGCTATCAGCAACTTTGCATAAACTGTACTGCAAAATTTTACAATACAACCGACCGGGGCCGGTCGTCCTGCATTGTTAATGCTTATGACAGAGACAAAGACGTTGCTCCCCTGCTGAACGTACATATGTGGTGTTTAAAAGCAAGTAGCAATCAGTACCATACTGTCCACCTTGCCAGTCGATAAAGAAAAGCAAAAGCAGTCTTCCATAGCGTTTGAGCATGCGCTGTTTTTTTTCTCCGTGACACGATGGTACCGTGCTGCATAAACAAGCCACAACAGCCTAAAGACACATTATTTTCAGTTATAACTTTTGTCTCAAACCAAGTCGATTGCTTGCATGTTTCATATATAAATCGTGAACGTACGATTCTCGTGTTTTGCGATACAAACTATTCGAAAGAAAAAAAAATGAAATTAGAAGAGTAGGATGAAAATAGGTCGTATATTAAATTGTCAACATTTTATTCATTTGGAAAGAACACGAATATCAAATTAGCCATTATGTTTATTTGTTACGTATATAAAATTTAAAAAAAATAATATTTTATTTTCGATAGTGTTGGGCTAGCTGGACTATGCCTTGGTATATATTTTCTGTGTGTGTTTCAAAGAGTTAGTTTCGTGTTCGCGAAGGTTCGTGCCATAAAAATCCGGCCCGCACCCATCTCTACTCATGAAGTTATGCTACAGGCGGTTGCCAGTTGCACAATATGTGTGGGGGTGGCAAGAGTTAAGGGTTTGACAGGCTTGTGTGCAAGTCATTAACTATTCATACGACATTAGCCTCAACAGCAACAACACAACCAGAGATATACAGAGAATGCAGCATGTGATGACACTTTTGATTTCGACTGCTGAACAGCCAAGTGCAGGTGAGTGCTAATTGCCCACAGCCTACAGAAGGCGGACAATTTGACAGACACAAGCAGGAAATTTATTTAACGACCAGTTGAAGCTATCAAAGCACAATAAGTTGAGCATAATACCCAGCCGGCCTTTGTCTGATTCGCATTTAGCAGGCATAAACTCTGTTTAAGCTTTCACAGCTCTTTGCACACAAGCTGTTGGTCGGGAAAAAAGGGTGGTAGGGGGGGGCTGGGGGGGGGGGGGGGGGGGGGGGGTGAAGAAAGAGCGTTTTTACAAAAATCTCAGAAAAATTGAAATTATTTGTCCCGTGGGAGTTATCTGCTGTTTGGTTTAGCTGTTTGGATGCTGGCTTGAGCTTGGGCTAATGTTGGAGGACGGGATTGGGATAAACTGACACTAAGCCCAGGCGGTTCAGGGTCTGGCAAGTCGATTGGTGCAAAGATTTTACCCTCCAACTTTAACAAAAAAAATTGCGAAAAAATTTAAATTACCTCTTTATACGGCTCTACAAGTTCATTGTCTTGTGTTATTGAACTGCTGCTAGTGGCCGTAATAACGAAGGGGGCTGGCTGGCACACAGAGTCCACGGCCCAGCAATATATTCATATTATACACTCGGCAACGTTGTTGTATTA